AGTTGACACTCGCCCTTCTCTCTGCCTGGAGCGCTGTCCCTAAAGACCGGCGGCTCATCCCCTCGCTTTCCTCAGGAAGCCAGGCCGTCCGGGAGGGAGTGGCCCCTGCTGCTCACCCCCTCCCTGGCCTCTCCTCCACAACACATTGTCATGTCTCTCCCCTGCTAGCACAGGGACAGGCCGTGTCCGTGAGGACAGGAGCTCAGCCGTCCCTTGTTGGACACCCTCCGAGCCCGGGCGGTCCACACGGAGTCACCTCAGCACGTAGAGATTGATGAGGCTAAGATGTCAACAGCTATGTCTTACTGTAGGTGTGGCTGTGTCTTGTCCTTTAAAGGACGGAGTGGCTCTCTGGTCCTGCGGGATTTGGTCTGACCGAGGGGCCTCGATGGTGCTAATGGACCCGGGGTGAGCCAAGCTGGCTGTGCCTCACGTGCAGTTCCCGTGGAGATGGGGCTTTTGGCCTCAGAAGCAACTGTGTGGGCCGGGGGTGAGGGGTGCTGTGCCCGTGGTGCCAGAGGCCTGAGTTCCAGGACACAGCTATGTGAGGGGAAAGGAACCGTCAGTATGCCGGCTTCTAGAAAGTTCCTCAGAAGTCACAGCCGTGGCGAAGGTACCTTAACCGTCTGGTTCTGTAAGGTCAGATCACAAAGTCGGGTAGAAACTCAGTCTTGCCCCCATAGTGTGGCTCCCCGTTGGCTTCCCCTGCACTCCTCGCCACTCAGGGTACAAGTGAAGGCTGTCCCGTATGTGTCCTTAACGGGTGGATCACTGACACCCATTGTGAGCAGTTTCTCTGGGGAAGGAGATTCCACTGTGTCTGCCGGACGCCAAAGCACAGGCGGTCCTCACTTCTACGTGTGCCGCGGTCTTCACTTCTACGTGTGCCAACAAAACACCCTTTTGCACGGGTCTCGGTGGCCCTGCAGTCCTGCCAGCCAGGACGGGAGCCGGCCCGCCGTGCACCGGCCCCCACCCCTGTCGGCATGAAGGGTGCTCCCTCACGGCCGGGCCCGCACCCCTTTACTTAGCGGAGGAGGCCGGGAGCCAGAGGGGCGCGGCAGGGGGGCCGGGTCTCTGTCCCGTTTCCTGCCCGGGGCCTGGAGGCCACACGCCGGCGGGCCTGCTGCAGCCTCCCCACCGCCTGCCCGCGTTTCAGGACCTGTGCCGGAGCGCGCTGGCCGCCATGGGGAAGCAGGAACGGCGCTACCGGCCGCTGATCCGTGAGAAGAGCAAGCCCGTGCCACTGAAGCTGTTCACCCCCCGACTGGTCAAAGTGTGCGTAGTCGCGGCCCCCCGGCCCCGCTCTGAGGGGTGCAGCCGGGGGTGCAGGAGGGCTCGGGATGGGGAGGGGGGGCGGGGGGAACAGCCACAGGGGAGCAGACTGCCCGAGGCGGGCGGGCCTGACCGCGGCTCTCCACTCTCAGCCTGGAGTTTGGGCGGAAGCAGGGAAGCAGCAAGGAGGAGCAGGAAAGAAAAAGACTGATCCACAAGCACAAGCGGGAATTTAAAGGAGCCGTCAGGGAGATCCGCAGGGACAACCAGTTCCTGGCTCGGATGCGGCTGGCGGAGACCCTGGAGCGGTGAGGAAGCTGCGGGGGCTGCCTGACGGGGGGGGGGGGGGGGGGGGGGGGAGGCCTGGGCCCCTGACTCCCCGCGTCTCCACGGGTCCGGCGCCCGCGTGCTCGTTAGTGGCTCGTGGGCAAGACATCCTGCAAAACAACTAATCCAGAAAATGGGGTTTTGTCCTTTGCTTTGAAGGGATGCGGAAAGAAAGCGAAAAGTGAAACACCTTTTTAACAGTCTGGCCACACAGGAAGGGGAATGGAAGGCTCTGAAGAGGAAAAAGTTCAAAAAGTAAAGTTTCGCACATTAGGCAAGGAGATCCTGTAGACTGAACGTAATAAAGGCTGCTGAACTGTCAGTGTGACTTCTTCTTCCCCGCGCCACAGCCCCACAGTCCTCCGTGACAGCCACGCCAGCCGGCCGGGACGGACTCCTCCGTCGTCCGGACAAGCCTCGCTGAATCACAGGGTTTGGGACTGAGGGGATCCCGGCCAGCTTCGTGTTGGGACGACCACAGATACTTGGCTCCTGTACAGAAATCGGTGTACCTGGCAGGTGATACGGGGCCCGGCGCTGAGGCCTTGCCTCCCACAGGCCGGCGCGGGAGGCCAGTGTCACACAGCTTGTGGTCACAGCAGCCAGTCCTGCGAGGTGGCCCTGGGACCTGCACTGAGACACCAGTCCCTGAGGTCACACAGTCGGCCGTGGCAAAAACCACAGATTTGAGGACCGGCCAGGGGGATGTGGGGGACTCGGAGTGGCTGGCAGGACGGCCTAAGTGTGGTGGGAAAGAGGAGGTTGGCTGGTGGGGAGAATTGGCGGTTTGCTTTTGGCCAAATCGGGTGGTGCTGGAACTCTACGCGGAGTCCGGGGCCAGAATGCCCCTGGAGCACGTAGGGCTCAAGCCCCGACTACAGAGCGCAGCCTTGGGAATGAGGGAGGAGCACTCAGCCAGCCTCCCCTGGGTCGCCAGAGACAGGCTCGCCAGCTGCGTGGCTCCACAGAGCCAGGAGGGCCCCGGCAGCTGTCACAGGCACGGACCAGGCTGGCGACACCTCCTCGATGTGCAGGCCTGGCCAGCTGTCGTCGTTCAGCCCCGGGATCTCGTGCACCTGGGCCTCAGCCCGACGTCCTGCTCTTCGGTCCCACGAGGCTGGACCGGGCCGGCAACGAGCCCTAAAGCCCCAGCTTTGGATCAAGCGATCACTCTGCTCCCCCCGCCCCCCGGGCCTCTCCCCAAACCCCCTGGACATGTAATTCCTGGAAATGTCAGGATCTGTGTATCTGGCCCAGCCCAGCCCTGCCTCTTCCTGCAAGGGGTTCTGGAAGAAGGGATGAAACCCAGCTAGGACCAGCCTGCCAGGGGCAGAACCGAGGGCTGCTCCGAGCCTTCTGAGACACTATTTCCAACTCGTACCTCCTGCCCCTCCCCCGTGGCCCAGCTGGGAAAAATGAACGTGACCCGAACGTATCCTTTGGAGAAAGTGCTACCGGCTTTCTTCTTGGCTGGAGGTGGACTCCTTGCGCCTATTATCAGGCGGCGGGACTGCTGCTATCTTTACTTGGGAGTTTACTACGGTGTAAAGAGGGGGTAGGAATGCCAAGTTGACAAGGGGGTGGGCTGTGGACGCGCGTCAACTTGGAAGCCGAACCTCATTTCCAGAACTTCCCGTTACTTTCTGGTTCGGGTCGGCCAGTCAGACGAATCCTGGAGGGCATGTGGGTGGAGGTGGTGAGGTGCTGTGGGCGTCCGCCGACCTGGGTCAGGCTGGTGGCAGGAGAGGCCAGCGCGCTGCCGGCTGGACGCTGTGGCTCCCGCGGGTCCCCTTCCCCGGCCGCCTGTCCCGGGGTCCCGGGATCGGCACAACGCGCAGAGCCGCCGAGACACTGGCGTGCGCGGTCACGGCGGGGACACCCGCGCCGGCACGAGCCGGTGAGCGGCGGGAAGGCGCGC